GCTGCAGGATTGTAGTTCTTGTTTCTGCTGTCTGCCCTCTGGTGGATGAGGCTATCTAAGAGGCTTGTGCAGGTTTCCTGATGGGAGGGACTGGTGGTGGGTACAGCTGGCTGTTGCTCTGGTGGGCGGAGCTCAGTAAACGTTAATCCTAAACCGCTTGTCTGCTGATGGGTGGGGCTGGGGTCCCTCCCTGTTGGTTGTTTGCCCTGAGGCAACCCAACACTGGAGCCTGCCCGCTCTTTGGTGGGGCTAATGGAGGACTCTGGGATGGCTCACGCCAAGGAGTACTTCCCAGAACTTCTGCTGCCAGTGTCCTTGTCCTCACAGTAAGACACAGCCGCCACCCCCCCGCCCCTGCCTCTGCAGGAGACCCTCCAACACTAGCAGGTAGGTCTGGTTCAGTCTCCTGTGGGGTCACTGCTCCTTCCCCTGGGTCCCGATGCGCACACTACTTTGTGTGTGCCCTCCAAGCGTGGAGTCTCTGTTTCCCCCAGTCCTGTCGAAGTCCTGCAATCAAATCCTGCTGGCCTTCAAAGTCTGATTCTCTAGGAATGCCTCCTCCCGTTGCTGGACATCACGTTGGGAAGCCTGATGGGCTCAGAACCTTCACTCCAGTGGGTGGACTTTTGTGGTATAAGTATTCTCCAGTCTGTGAGTCACCCACCCAGCAGTTATGGGATTTGATTTTATTGTGATTGCACCCCTCCTACCGTCTCGTTGTGGCTTCTCCTTTGTCTTTGGATGTGGGGTATCTTTTTTGGTGAGTTCCAGTGTCTTCCTGTCGATGACTGTTCAGCAGCTGGTTGTGATTCCGATGCTCTCGCAAGAGGGAGTGGGAGCACGTCCTTCTACTCCACCATCTTGAACCAGTCTCTCAATTTACTTATTTTATTTATTTATTTTTGGCTGCATTGCATCTTTGTTGCCGCACGCGGGCTTTCTCTAGTTGTATTGATGGGCTTCTCATTGCGGTGGCTTTTCTTGTTGCGTAGCATGGGGTCTAGGCGCACAGGCTTCAGTAGTTGTAGCATGTGGGCTCAGTGGCACGTGGGCTCAGTAGCTGTGGCTCACGGGCTGTAGAGCACAGGCTCAGTAGTTGTGGCACACGGGCTTAGTACCTCCGCGGCATGTGGGATCTTCCCTGACCAGGGCTCAAACCTGTGTCCCCTACATTGGCAAGCAGATTCTTAACCACTGAGTCACCAGGGAAGCCCATGGGGTAGCTTCTTTGAGGAAATAACATTACAACTAGGATGCAAAGGTTGAGTAACAGTCAAGTGTGGAGAAGGGGTTACTTGCAAGAAAGTGCATGTGTGAGGGCCAGTGAGAACAAAGGAGTTTGGCCTGTGTCTGAAAAGTTAGAAGAGGCCCTGAGGTAGAGCACAGTGGGAGGTTTCGCTGCAGAACTAAACTTGGGTCCACTTGTCCATGCACGGTAAAACCAATCTACTTACACTGGGTTGTGGTGAAGGAAAGTGCAGTGCTTATTGCAGGCGCAAAGCAAGGAGACCAGGCAGCTAGTGCTTAAAAGGCCCAAACTCCCTGATGGCTTTCAGGGAAAGGTTTTTTAAGACAGGGTGAGGGAGAGGCTTGCAGGGTGTGTGATCAACCTGTGGACAGTCTTCTGATTGGTTGCTGTTGAGGTGACCAGGAGCCAACATCATCAACCTTCTGGTTCTAACAGGTCTGGGCTCTACTGCTTGTGGGCAGCACACAGTTAACTTCTTCCACCTGGTGAGGGTTTCAGTATCTGCAAAACAGCTCAAAGGACGTGGCTCAGAATGTTATCTATAGCCCTTGAGGAGGAACTAAAGGTCTTTGACTTAGTTTAGCTATTATTTCGTCTTGCTTGACTGTTTTCCTTTCTTTCTGTGTTTTCTCCCTTCTCTGATTAAATTTATTCTTTGGAACTGGGGGAAAGCCTAGGAAGCTAAAGTTTTTCTACAGACAGGAGGCATGTGGAGGACATTCTGTCCTGGGAAGGCCACATAGGGTCTTGCTCAATTACAGTTTGCCCTTGATACTAATAGCAATTGGGGGGAGCCTTTGAAAGTTTTAGCTAGGAGCAATGTGATCAGATTGGGACTTTTAGAAAAGAATCAGATTTAGATCTGAGAACTTGAATTCAGGTCCCCTTTTACAGATAGTAGGTGGTGACCTGTGACCAATAGTAGAGGCCCAGGCCTCCTGAATCCCATTTTGGGCTCTGGACCAGATGTTTTCACATGAAGCCAGGAAGCAGCTGAGGTGATAGCTTTGCCTCCTTCTCCCAGTGACCACCTCTGAACCCTTTCTCTGACCACCAATGAAGATGCTCACGTTCATGGTTTACATACCCCACCCCCTCTCCCAACCTCCCTGGTCCTTTCAGGGACTTCTCTAAGTAGGAAGGGAGGGTTCAGTCCTGATGCAGGGTGAGTCCTGCTGGGGGGCATGGCGAAAAGTGAGCCGATTTACTTAACCATTCCTCTATTGTTGGGCAGTAAAATTGTTTGAAATGTTATTATAAAAAAGACTGCAGTGCATGTCTTCACATCTATATCATTTTGAGGGAATTTAGTAAGCTACTAAAAGATAAAAACTTGTTTCCAAATGCTTTCCAGAGTTTTATCAGATTATACTCATTAAATGAAAAGGACCAGTTTTATCAGTGCCTTCCTAGTCCTTTAATGTTTGCTCGTTTAAAGAGTTTCCTTTCATTTGAATTTCTTTGCAAGACAGTAAGGAAAGTAATGTATTGCTCACTATTTGTTTCTTGTGTCTGCCTCTTTTGGTCTTGCCTTCTTTACATTTTCCTCTAAAACACCAGGTATCCATGAAAATATGAAGGAGAAAAGATCAGGACACATTTAAAGTTAACACCTTTTATTTTATAACCAAATTAAAATGTCAGAAAATACATATACTGGTCAGGACCCAGAACATGCTTGATACTCCCCCCTTTAATTCTGTGTGCTGGCCTAAGGGGAAACAGCTGAAAGAAAGGCATCTTTTGTAGAGAGCATTCTTGGGTCCCCTGGGGAATATGCTCTGAGGGGAGTTGTACCACTTGGAGAGGTGGGGGCAGGCTGGAACCAAGTGGAGCCCTTTTCCAGACGTGCAAGATGCCATTCCAAATGGGGTGATTTAAGGACTTCCCAGGGCACTGCAGACCCTATCTGGGGTACTCAGAGATACCTGGAGGAAGTCACATTCCCCCCCTTTATCCCCAGGGGTCAGCTAGCCACTGAGAAAGGAACTGATGGGCTTGGGGGGCACAAAAGGGCATCCGTGACTGATCAGTCCTGATGATCACTGCATCAGGAGTAAAGGGCACTTTGCGCTTTTTTTTTTATAAATTTATTTTATTTTTGGCTGCACTGGGTCTTCGTTGCTGCCTGCGGGTTTTTCTCTAGTTGCAGTGAGTGGGGGCCACTCTTCTCCGCATTGCGGTGGCCTCTCCTGTTGCGGAGCACGGGTTCTAGGTGCGTGGGCCTCAGTTGCTGTGGCTCACGGGCTCTAGAGCGCAGGCTCAATAGTTGTGGCGCACGGGCCCAGTTGCTCCGGGGCATGTGGGATCTTCCCGGACCAGGGCTCGAACCCATGTCCCCTGCACTGGCAGGCGGATTCTCAATTACCGCGCCACCAGGGAAGCCCGCACTTTGCTCTTTCAATGGCTGGTCCCTATGATGTCACGTTAATAGCACCCAATTTGAAACTTTCCCATTGGCCAGCGTCATGGTACTCCAAAGGCATGGAATAGGTAGATGGCTTTAGGCCAGGGCTTGAACATAAGCATAGACAATTCTTGTGATACTGAAATGTCAGCATGGAAAGATCTTGAGAGGCTAGCATGATCATCTTCCTGATGAGGTGCACCGAGGGAAAGGGGCTTTCCCAAGTTTGCAAAGTGCTCAAGTTCCTGCTTCTCTTCTTCCCACTTCAAAGCCAGTTTCTGTAAGATTAATGAGCCTCCCACTCATTCACCAAGTTTCTGCAAAAACGTGGGCAGGGGTGATGCTGTGCAAAAGCATGGGAACTGGCTGTGTGTGACACCATCCAGAAGCTTTGATGGGGGCCACTGGCCAGTCTGGCTTCCTGAGCATGGGGCCTCTGACATGTACGGGAGAGGCCACCTGGAAAGCTTTGCTGGACTTGAAGAAACAGTTAGGTTAAGTCCTCCATGGCAGTAAGTTTAAAGGAGCAACCCTTAAAATTAAAGAACGTTAACTTGATGAAAGCCTCACAGAAGCTGCTCCAGTGACACCGTCTGCATTCCAGTTCCTCAGTTGCTCTTTCTCACGTCTTTTCTACATGCGGTTCCCTGACCTGGATGCTTCCCCCATCACCTAGTTAGACTGCTACTAACCTTTCTGACTTCAACTTGTGTGTCACTTCCTTGTGGAAACCTGGCCCCTCCTCACTGAGGACTCTCAAAGCACCCCATCCCGTTTGTGATTGATGTGTGACCTCTAGACTCTGAGCACCTGGGCAGGGACCGTTTCTCTGCTGCTCGCCACTGTGTCACCAGCATTTAGTGCAACACCTGACACAACAGGCACTCAATAAATATTTACTGACTGAAGGAGTAGCTGTAGGGAGACATTTCCATTCCGGTATGAAACAAATAGCACAGCTGTCCCGAAGTGTTACGGCTGCTGCCAAGCGATTCCAAAAGCAGGTTAGAAGAAACCAGACCCAGCTCCTCAGTGGCCGTGACCCCTGCCCTTTTCACTCCCAGACATATAAGTAACATGCTGTGTTATCATATCCAAGGGTTAGCCTTAGAGAGGAAGTGAAACCACAGCAAATCACCTGGAGTTTTCACTTTTCTCTTCAGACAGCAGGTTGGGCTTGCTGACAGGTCACCTAGCAGCCCAGGGGAGGAGCTGCTTGATCTAGAAGGGGTCCAGTTCTGGGGACCACACCCCTGTGCCCCAGAGGCCAGCCTCGCCAGAGACCTTTCCACCCCTCCAACCCTCTTGTCCAAAGGCCCCAGTGGAAGGATGTTTACTCCCCGCTCTGTGCGGAGGAGAACCAGAGTCCTCCCAGAGAGGGTGCTCCCTCGAGTCAGGACAGGTGCTCGAGCACACAGCACCCAGGCTTGCTGGGTGACGGGCAGCACTGCAGGCCTGGGCTGCCAGCTGGTTTCAACAACCATGATTGAGTTCTAGACCCCTCCCCTTGCGTTTTCGCTGGGGCTCCTCAGCCAGTGCAGAGGGAGAAGCGAGCCAGCCGGCTCCCTAGCCCAGCATATTCTCTTGCATCTGACAGAGGAGACTTGGTCTGACTGCAGGCGGCAGGAAAAGTTCATTTCCTGAGGGAAGGCGTGAGTAACCCAGTGGATTCTCAGCAAGACAGGTGAGCCTCTTGGAATTGGTAACACAGGTTGCCTCCGGGACGGGTGGGAGGGAAGCTTTTCACTTCTGTTCTTTTGTACCTCTTAAATTTTGAGTCATTTAAGTATGACCTAGTCAAAATATTTTAATTTAAATGAATTGAGCATAATGCCACTTTCCCGAGGGAGGGAAGGGGGGAATCTGCTTGGTCTCAAGGTAGCTTGCGCTAAGTCTGACCTGGAAATTGATGCCACTCACCAAAACTGACCTTTTGAGAACCAGGTTTTGTATATCTCCTCAAGCACTGCTTCTCAACCTTTCACGTGCGCATGAATCACCTGGGAGTCTTGCTGAAATGCAGGTTCTGATTTAGGGGGATGAGGGAGGGGCCTGAGACTGCATTTCTAACAAGCTCCCAGACGATGCGGACGCTGCTGGTCCAGACCACACTTCAGTAGCAGTGCTTTACAGCCACTGAGGGAGGGGGTTGAAGGCCAACCTAGTAACAACTGTTTCCACCTGACGACTGAGCACCATTCATCATCTCATTAGCCCTTCAGATGGAGCTCTAGAGGAGACAGGGAGGGAAGCCGGGCAGGGACACTGCAAGCCCCACAGAACAGTGAGAGCCAAACCACACAGGCAGGTGTGTCTCCCATCTGGGTGAGACGCTATCCCCTGAGCTTCCCGAGGCTCTCCTTCCTCATGGCCAGCTGCCTCCTCACAGGTCCAGTCCTTTCCCAGTTGCCTCCTTGGCCACCTTTAAATTTCACCCCTGGGGGCAAGGCCACATGTCCCCTTGGGTGTTGGTCAAGGTCCTTCTCTGAGGAGCCATCATTCGCTCTAGGGATTTGTGCAGGTCTCAGCTAGAGGCTGGAGGAAGGCCAGAGTCCTGGGCCCAGCTGTCATGTCTGTCGGCTCTGAAGGGAATTACATACATGCCCCCCTCCCTGGGGGCCAGGTCAGTATCTCATTCAAGCATCTTTTGGACAGGGCCCAGCCCGTAGCAGGCATCAGTGTTTGTTGTGTGAATGAATAACTGAATGCCCTACTAAGTTCTCAGGAAAAATGAAAACACTCTAGGCCCCTGGCCTGCCCTCCACCCTTCCCCTCCCCAGGGCCTCTTCTGCATGAGCCACTGTGGCCACTGGGAGGCTCCCCTCCGCACACACACAACAAAAAGCTTGTAGCAGGATCCCAAAGCGCAGGAGAGAGGGCTGTGCCTGGAAGCCCCGTCCCACGTGGATGACGATGACTCTTCCCAGTTCAGAGCTGTGGGCAGTTCTGCCCTCAAATCTTCACCAAATCTGCTGTCAGCCAACAGCTCTGGCTATGCCTCCACGGTCTGCAGGTTCTGCAGCTGCTCCACATTCACCTTTCCATTCCCCTGGTGGCCAGACCTGTGTGTGGGCGGGTGGGGGCACACAGGGCACAGAGGACGCTTGGGAGCCCTGCAGGCAGGGACGGCCTCCCTAAAGGCAGGCTCCGCCTGCAGAAGCCTCTGGCTGGCAGCGCGGCAGGCAGGGAGCGTTCACAGCAGCAGTCTGAGGGCTCCCTGGCCGCAGCCCAGGCACGGGGAGGCGCTCAGGCCGCGGCCTCGGGAGCTGGCCCAGCAGTGAGCAGCCGCTGCGGCCCCACAGCAACAGGCGAGGCTGGCCAGGACCAGCAGGGCAACCGCTCTTTCCTCTGGTAGGCGAAGGAGCTCAGGTGAGCACCCAGGAAGTGACAGGGAGCACGTGGGGGGCTGCTGGCACAGGCCTACCCCAGCAGATCTCCCAGCCTCTCCATTGTTCTTTCCTCACTCCTCTCCATCCTTTGCCTTCCCTCTCCATCCTGGCTCACCGCTCTCTCTTTCCCTGCCCAGGCCCAGCTCCCCACTGGAGGCTGCCAATCGCTGAGTCAGCAGAGAATGGAAGCTCGAAGCAGAGGGCAGCCAGCCCCAGGTCAGTGAACGCCTCTGACGTAGTTCACGAGAGGAGAGTCAGGGAACCCTACTCACTGAGCTGGAGGTTCCCCTGTGTCCAGCCCCCCCGGAACAAAAAGGAAAACAGGACCAGAAAGGGCCAGGCACCTGCTCAGGGGCACATAGCGAGGCAGGGAAGCAGAGCAGGCCTGAGGGCTGCCTCCTGACTCAGCCCAGGGCTCCCTCCCACGCCAGGCTGTGGTCAGGTCTACAGAAAGCGCCAGGCTGCCCGGGGCTTCTGGGCAGTGCTCAGGGAAGGGCCGCCTGCAGGTCACCTGTCAGCACAGCCACCACTGTCCTCAGGCTAGGGCAGCTCCAGAATTTCCACATCAAAGAGGAGCTTAGGGGGAGGCATGTGATGAGGTGTGGAGGGATGAAGGGCCGGTAAGGCAAAACAACCTGATGGAGAACTGGACTCTAGGAACCCACTGCCCAGGTTCAAATCCCAGCTCTGCCATTTATTAGCTGTGTGACTTGAGCAAGTTACTTGACCTCTCTGAGCCTCAGTTTCCTCATTAGAACAGGAAATATTAATGTCCACCTCATTAGGTTGCTGGAAAGAGTTCACATGTACAAAGAACTCAGAGCAGTGCCCAGCAGAGTAAGCCTGAGTAAATGATAGTACTGTTACTGTCTTAATGTGGGCACAGCATAGCAAGCAGACAGGTCTGTGGTCACTCAGGGGTACTGGAGGGTAACGGGCATCGTGGAGGGGCTAAAGCACCACCAGCACCCCTCCCCCCGAGTCCAGCTTGGATGGGCTCTGCTGGGTCCCTGGCATCCTGCCTTGGGGCCAGGTCACCCAGAGCAGGGAGCACAGTAGCCAGCTGGGCTGTCTCTGCGGGCCTCATTCCCGGCCCTCGGCTGGGCAGCCCCTCACCTGGCAGGCTGGAGGAGCTGCCGGCACACACAGCCATTCTCCTGGGCGCCGACTCCATCCTGCACCTCTGGCTGCTCCGCCAGCCCCGCCGCGTCCGGGGCCACGCTCTGCTGCGAGGACTCTGCCATTCGGGCGAGGACCTCTAGGTCCCTGGGCAGAACATGACCCATTAACCCTGGCCTGTGGGTCCCACCTCCTCCCTGGGACTGGTGAGCCACTCGCCCTGCAGGGGGCGCCCCTCTTCCCCCAGCAGCTCAGCAGGGGTGGCAGGTGCAGTCAGGGCTTAGGGCTCAGCCAGAGAACCAGGGCTGGGGTTCAGTCCAGGCAGAGATGCAGGCTGGCCCTCCGCCCCGTCCCAGGTGGGGGTGGGAGTGAGGGAGCAGCGCCCGGTGCATTTCCCATCCCAGCTCCTCTGAACACACGAACGAACACACACACCACTGCCCTAGGCCCCCAGAGTGAGGGGGGGGGGAAATCCGTTTTCTTCCCTTACCACTCCAGCTTCCCTCAACCCCAGCTCACCAGGACCACCAAGTCCAAGAATCCTAAAATTGTAGGTGCTGGAAGGCACTGTATGTAAACCAACACTCTCTCTCATCTCACAGAGAAAGTGAGGCCCAAGGCGGCCTGGGACTGGTCCAAAGTCACCTGGGGAGACAGTGGCAGGGCCAGGCCTGGAAACGAGGTCTCCTGCCCATGGCCTGGGTGGTCTTGTCTTCTGCCAGCTGCTCTGAAGTAGAATCCAGTTTTGTAGAGCCGGTACTCAGAACATTCCGCCTTACCCAGCCCTTCCAAGGGAGCTCCCCGTATTCAGCCCTGCCTCTACCCGCCAAACGCCGACATAAAACCAGGGTAAGAGTTCTGAGCCCGGGAGGGGGAGAGGCTGACCTAGTGGGCTCCCCTAGGGCTGCTGGGAGGAAGCATAACTGACCTCACTTCCTCATATTTCTTGTCTCGGTAAAAGTGGCTCTTTTTGATGAAGTAGATGAGTACCAAGTCGCAGAAGAAAGACCCCTGCAAAAGAGTTGGGGTCCCTGACTCAGGATCCTAGACTTCCAGAGAGCACCCGGCCACTTGACACCAACTACATCCCATTTGATCCTGCAGCAACCCCTGAGGGGGGCTGCGCTCAGAAAGAGGCATCTTTGTCCAAGGCCACAAAGCTGCTCCATGGTAGAGCCAGAGTTAGCCAGTGGTCCGTCTGACCCCTCAGGTTGAGCACCCCGCACTACCCTGATCCCATCGGATCACGCCTTCAGCCAGTGTCTGCTGAGCACTGCCCTGGGGTGCGGGAAAGAGTAAGCCAATGAGACTCTCTGGGGACTCCCCCTCTGGTGCAGGAGGCGGGCATATAAATTATGACAGTGACAATGTCCCATGATGGGGACAGGAGCAGGGGCAGCAGAGAGAAGATGGGACCCTACTCAGCCTGGGGAGGAACATCTGGGCTGAGTCTTGAGGCTGAATAGGATTTTATATAAGGAAAAAGGGAAAAACGCTCCGGAAGGGCACTGCAGAGGAACAGGCTCGTCATGCCTGGGAACAGGGCCAGGAACAGAATTGTGGCATTGCGGGAAGATCCCTCTAGTAGGCAGTGAGAGAGGGACTGGAGGGTATCTGAACAACAAGGACACCACAGCAGCGGTCAAGGAAAGATGAGGAGGGCTGAGCCAACCCAGCGGACCGACCCACTGACACCTGAACACAAGCTCTTCAGACCAGAGTGGATGGCGCAAATACCAGTCTCCTCGACCAGAGGGCAACTCCACCCACTACACAGAGAGGAGGGGGCGGGGGATGGGAGAGGGTTGATGGAGGACCACAGGTGAAGCAGGTCCTCTGACCTTGGGCATTGCACAGCCTTCCCTGCCATACCCCCCCCCCCATGCCAAAAAGGTTATCAATTCCTTGTTCCACAGAGAACACTTCTCCCACCCCCCACCCGGCCTCTACCACTTTTCCCCCTTACCTTCATTTCACAAGTGTGTCCCCAGCTGCCTGTTTTCTGATTTACCCCCATCATAAGACAGTGATGTCTCAAGGTGGCCCCTGTCTCGGGAAGTTACCTATGTAAACGTGCAGGGCTCCCCAACAATGTTGCTGCAGTTAAGAGGAGGCCCTTGGGGCCCACTTTCATCCACTGACCACCTCTCAGGAGCATGGCCTCTTTTGAGTCCTGCTACAGGACATGGTGTTCCTGGTCTCAATAAGAAGTCAGTCCTAGGTCCTCCTGGAAACCCCCATGGGGCTGCTGTGACCTCCTGGGCAGAGGAACCAGGGACAAGGCTGCCAGAAACCTTGGCAAGTGGCTTGCTGGTATGGGTGTGAGCCACTCTGATGACTGCCTTGTCTTTAAAAAACTTCCAGAAAAACAAAGGGGCATGAAAGATCCAGAGGAAGCCTTTCCCTGCCCTCCAGCTGTTACTTCCTCTCCGGTGGCCCCTCTGCCCAACTGAAGGGACAGACCTGGACTACAGCCCGACTTCCCTGCCTCTCATCTTTTTAGCCCCGTGATTCACAACCGGGGGGCAGTTTGGCGACGTCTGGAGACATTATTGGCCGTCACAACTGTGGGGGAAGGTGCTGCTGGCGTCTGGTGGGTAGAGGCCGAGAATGCTGTCAGACACTCTACAATGCACACAGTCACCCCAAAAAAAAGTGATCTGGCCCTACGTGTCAACAGGGCTGTGGCTCAGAAGCCCTGTGTATAGCCGGATCCTGCCTCTCTTTAGCAGAAGTGGAGACAAGGCTGCGCAGGATCCCAGAGAACCCCCCTCAGCTGCAGAGCCACAGGCAGAAGCCTCTCTGGCTCTGGAAAGAGAAACCCAGGTAGTCACGGTCACCTGGGGGCTGCTGGAGGGGTGTGAAGTCCCAGAGAGCCCTCCGCCCTTCACCCCCATCGGCACTGACCTCCCCAGTTCTGGTTCTTTCTGGAGCACTGGGACAACTCCCGTGGGGCAGTGTCCCTGCTGCCCGCCCCCGCGGGTGCTCAGAGGGTAAAGGGGGTGGGGGAGAGGTACTCACCACACCCATGAGCGCCACCCCTGAGCCCACGTTGATGACTGTGGGGATGATGTTGAACTTCCCTGCCTGGAGCACAGAGAGACAAGGTGGGGTGAGGAAGGCAGCAGGACAGCGGGATCCCCAGGGACTCCACCAGAGCCAACCTGGGGTCCCCCCCAGCATGCCCCACCCTCCCAGGACCTGCCCAGCTTCAGAAAGGGAGCCTCACCCACATACCTTGCCGTTCACCATCACATCAAAGCGGATCCCGTAGGCTTTAAACAGCGTGCGGAGCTCCACCCCAGCTCCGTCTCGGTAATACTTGGCAAACCTGGGGGAGACACGGCTTGGGGAGCCCTCGGCCTACCTGGGTCTTCCCTGTTTGGCAACACAGGCTCCACTACCTTGGAGATTTATAACCCCCCCACCCCAGGACCCTGGCATTCAGCAGGCCCAGGAAAGGTTGGAGACCCCCTTGCTGACGTGACATAAAAGGTTCGTTCAGATCTGTGAAGTTTTTGCCAGATGCTCCCCAAGAGGCAAGGGCTTTCCCACGACTGCTGGGCCAACCCGGACCACCAAGGCACTGATGGGCCTGACCCAGGCCTCAGCTTCAGGGCAGGTCCAGAGCCATGGCCGATGCTTCTCTCCCAGAGGCCCCCTGGCAGCCTCCCTGCACCTCCCACTCTGACACCCACCCCCAGGAAGGGGTGTCATAGCGCTGGCACCCAGGCAAGGACACGAAACGTGGAGAGGGTCATAAGGTGACAGACTTAGCCCCAGTTACCTGAAGTTGTACCCAGAAGAAAGAGAGTTTTCTGAAAATCTGTTGTCCAGACGGTTAAAATAATAGCGAGGGTAACATTCAGAGGGAGCTCTATCAAGATCACAGTCCCATTCAATCTGAATTCCTATCACACCACCCTTGATGCAAAAGAGACAAGAATCAGTGCACAGAACTTTCTGGAGATACGAGTCACAGGCCAGCTCTTCGTGGAGAGCTCAGGCAGGGGGTTGGTTGGCCCCACTGGAGCATCCTGGGAGGGAAGAAGGCCCAGGGTTCACACCTCTGGGGTGACTGAGAAAAGTGCGTCGCTAACAGCCCATATCCTCCTGCTTCACGCTCCAGGGAGAAGGGAATGACCCGAGCGAGCACCTACTGGCACCTCACACCACAGCCAGGGTGCCAGTGGGGCTCCTGGCTCGGTTTCAGCTGATGCCCCTGGACTCAGAGCCAGACGCAGGTGCAAGTGTGCAGCACAGCTAATTCTGAGACAGTCCATGGGCAGGTGACTGTAGGGCCACCCCATCGCGTGGGTCCTCCTCCACACCCCCTCCTCACTGCAGAGCTCAAGCCCAGAGCCGGCCAGCCCCACCACCCACCTGCACAGCTATCTCCTGGAAGCTGCTCCCCGTCCAGCTGACCACAGACCCAAGTCGGAAGATGGGGCAGTAGGGGTCCTTGGGGCCAAATTTACAGGACTTCAGGAAAGCTCTGTCTGTGGTGTCCAGCACATTTGTCCTGGGTGGAGGCCATGAAGAGCCAGTGAAAGGAAGGTGAGACTCGCTGTTCCCAGGCCAGAAACCGGGCGTGACCCACACTGAGCCCTTGACTAAAGCCCCTCAGATCCTGACTGCTTTCCCACCCCCCAACATCCTCCAGTACGAAAGGACACAGCCCTGCCGCCACTGCACGGGAAAGGGTGCCCCCTCATCACCCAGTGGGTCATTCCACACAGCGTCCCATACACACGGGCCCACGTACTTGGAGAAGTTGAATTTGGGGAAACGAATGAAGTTCTTTATGTAAACAGTGAAGTCTTCAGCTTCGCCCAGGAGTGGCTTCCTGAAAACCAAGGCAGGACAGTCTGCTCAGGAGGCCCTACCCCGCCCCCTCCATGCCTGTGCGGAGGCTGAAGCCTGTGTGCTCCCTGGGTGCCCTGGAGCCTTTGCAAAGGACAGTCGATTTGATCATGTCGGGGTGGTCCTGGGGCCTTTGTGGGGTGCCCTGGCTTCTCCCCCAGGACACGTCTCCACCATTGGGCTGGGACCCGCTGCCCAGGACTGGGTAACTCCTCAGGGTCCCGAGGTTACAGCCACTCACGCTGGCCTGGACTTTGTCTCCACCGGGCACCAGGCGAAGATCTCACAGGTGCCCTTTTGCTCGCTCCCCGCCCACAGGCAGCGGCCAGTCCTCACTCCTGCAGGGGTGGGGGAAGGACAATGCCAGGAACCTCCTGGTTCCAACTCCCCTTCTGCCCCCAGCCCTGTCTACTCCAGGCCTCACCATTTCCAGCCACAACAGGCTCCCCAGGAGGGCAGTCGCTGTCCTCATAGCACAAGGCATCCGGAATGCTTTCACTCTGCCAGGAGAGAAAGGGTGCCTGGCGGGGGGCAGGTGCTTGCAGGGACCCCTTCTCAGAACCAGGTCCCATCCCAGGGTGAGGCCAGGGGTTCCTCCCTTGCCTGTGGCTGCTCACCCCTTGAGAACCTGCTTCTCCCCTGAATAATGCAGGTATGCACGCTGGTGCACACATCCCCCAGGGCCCTTGGAGGGGGTCGACACCCGTGCCTCAGGAGAGGGGTGGACCCCAAGTACTGCTGGCAGCTCTCCCACCCCCTCCCCAGCTCTCTGCACCAAGACGCACCTCGGCACAGGTTTCCTGCCGCTGGTTGGGGGTCACGACCAGGTTGGTGATTACAAAGAAGACATTCTCTCCCTGAGAAACCAGAGGGAGGTTGAGGAACCCCGTCCTGACATCTGGGGTCCCCCCTTCCCGGGGCTGCCTGGCAGGTGGTGGGATCTCTGCATGGGTGTTGCAGACACTGGGGCCACAAATCAGTGGATCCCACCCACGAGCCCACTGACCTCGGAGTCCCAGAGCAGGTACGCTTAGAGGGGTCTCTTCCATGCCCACAACCCCAAACCATTCTGACCTCAGCCCCCAGGGTCCAAGCTGAGATACAGGAGGGGAGAGAGGAGAAGGGGCAGTGATGAGATGGCCCGGCCCCGGCACAGGGAACTGCTCCCAGGGACAGTGGCCAATATAAGGGCAGGGCTCTCGGTGCCAGGCCACCTGACTCACACTGACCTGGAAGTTCTCTGGGTCCCATTTGGTTTCAACAGACTCAGGGTTTCATGGGAACAGAGCAGCCCCGTAAGGCACAGTTGGGGAGGGCTGGGGTTTGGCATGGGGTAAAGGACCTGGGCAGAGTCTATCTGCAAACCCTGCAGCCATCCCAGGCCAAGGGAGACAGTGAATGGAGGTCCCTGGCTCCCCAAGCAGTTTCCCATGTCACCCACCCAGATCCAGACCCTGCCAGCCTGGGCCCTTGTGCTGGGTGGGGCTCAGACCTGGGGTGGGATGACATAGTCGGCAACATCCCAGAGCCGCTCCCCAAGCTCTGAGGTGTTGGTGAAGGTCACACCCTTGACTTTGGTGATGATGCTGCTCTGCAGGGATGTGTCCGTGTCTTGGTAACACTTCTTCACCAGGAACACCCAACTGCAGGGAGGGGCAAGCAGGTGGGGGTCAGACTCATTGCTGCCCTCAGGAAGTTTCCTCAGGCCCCCAGGGTGTGGAGGGGTCAGGCTTGGGCCAGGCTCCACCTTTCCCACCAGCTCCTGGGCAGGAGTCACAACTCCCTCTGCCGCCTGAAAGCCAGTCCTGCAAGCAGCAGAGGTGACAAGCAACCCCAGAAGCGAGAGGCTGCTGCTCTCAGGAGCCAAGGCCCTGCAGCTGGGCAAGCTTGGGATGAAACCGGCTCGACCCACACTTGCCATGTGACCCCGGGTGAGCCAATGAACTCTGGGGGTCAACACAGGGCTAAGTGCACCTCCTTCCAGAGGGGTGAGGATGGTTAAAGGACATGGTGCACAACCTGGAACTTATCATGAGGAGACCTCAGACAGATCCAAATTGAGGGGGATTCTACAAAATTAGAGTGCAAAATCCTGTACTCTTTGACACCCAAAACACAAGCAACAAAAGAAGAAATAGGTAAGTTGGACTTGATCCAAATTAAGAACTTTTTTGTGCATCAAAGGACACTATCGGGGCTTCCCTGGTGGCGCAGTTGTTGAGAACCTGCCTGCTAATGCAGGAGACACGGGTTCGAGCCCTGGTCTGGGAGGATCCCACATGCCACGGAGCAACTAGGCCCGTGAGCCACAACTACTGAGCCTGCGCGTCTGGAGCCTGTGCTCCGCAACGAGAGGCTGCGACGGTGAGAGGTCCGCGCACCACGATGAAGAGTGGCCCCCGCTTGCCACAACTAGAGAATGCCCTCGCACAGAAACGAAGGCCCAACATAGCAAAAATAAATTAATAAACTCCTACCCCCAACAACAACAACAAAAAGAGTACATGTGAATTCCAGAGTTTACTTATGAGGAGGTTCTATTGGCAAACTTCCAAAAGTCACCAAGAATAAAATTAAAAAAAAAAAAAAAAAAAGACACTATCAACAAAGTGAAAAGACAACCCAGAGAATGGGAGAAGATATTTGTGAGTCACATAACTGATAAGGGTCTAGTACCCAGAATATACAAAGAAGTCTTACAACTCAACAATAAAAAAGACAATCCAATTTAAATATGGGCTAAGGATTTGAATAGATATTTCTCCAAGAAAGACATACAAATGGCCAATAAGCCCGTGAAAAGATGCTCAACATCTTTAGTCAGGAAATGCAAATCAAAAAACACAGTGAGATAGTACTTCACACCCAATAAGACAGCTGTAATCCAAAAAATGGGAAATAACAAGTGTTGGTGAGGATGCAGAAAAATTGGTACTTGCTGGTGGAAATGTAAAAAGGTGTAGGTGCTGTGGAAAGCAGTTGGGTAGTTGCTCAAAAGGTTACTATATGACCCAGCAATTCCACTCCTCAGTATACAACCAAGATAATTGAAATCATATATCCACACAAAAACTTACACATGAATGTTCTTAGCAGCATTATTCCTAATAGCCAAAAAGTAGAAACAATCCAAATGTCCAACAGATGAATGCATAAGCAAAATGTGGTGTATCCATACAATGAGGTATTATTCAGCAATTAAAGGAATAAGTTACTGACACAGGCTACAGTACGTATAAATCTTGAAAACATTATGCTAAGTGAAAGAAGCCAGACAAAAAAAGGCCACATGTTGTAATGATTTGATTTATATGAAATGTCTAGAATGGGCTATAGAGACAAAAAGTAGATTAGTGGTTACCAAGGGAGGGATGGTGGTAGGGGAGAATTGCAAATGACTGTTAATAGACACAGGCTTCTTTTGGGGGTGATGGAAACGTCCTGGAATTAGATAGTGGTGATGGTTGTACAACATTGTGAATGTACTAAAACCCACTGAATTGTGTAATTTAACATGGTTGAAATGATGAACTACATGCTATGTATGTGAGTTTTACCTCAATTTAAAAATGGTTTTTAAAAGATCCTGCACTCTCCAAAAAATGTCAGTGTCATAAGATACAAAGACAGACTCAGGAGTGATTCCAGATTAAAGGAGACATGACAACTGAACACAAGGCATGATTTCGGATTTTCTTTTCCTATAAAGGTAATTTTGGGGACAATTTACAAAAGGTCTATTGCTTAGATGATAATATTTTTATGTTAATTCCCGAATTTTCATGCTTTTACTTCATTAAATAAGAGATTCCTTGTTTTTAAGAAATACCCATGGAAGAATTTAGGAATCAAGAGACATCATGCCTGCAACCTACTCAACAGAAAAAAATTGCACATGTATACACACACATAGAAAGAGAAAGGGATAAGGAAAACACAAATGTAGTAAAATGTTAACATTTGAGGAATCTAGGTGAAGGGCATTAAAAAAACTACTCTTAAAACTTTTCTGTGAGTATAAATTACATTAAAATATTAAAAAAAAATTTTTTTTAAATGAGACGGCACATGTAAATTGCTTAGCACAGCGAGTGCCAGGCACAGAGGAGGAGCTCAATGAATATAACACATCAACTTATTACTGAGGTTACTGTTAATTAGAGATTGTCCAGGTCAAACCCCCTTGGTAAAGTTGGGAAAACTGCAGCCAGAAGAGGGCAGGAAGCCGCCTTCCTGAGGTCCTGCAGCAGTGCTGTGGGATGCCCTGCCTCTCCCAGGCAGCAACCAGGATGCTTCCACCCTCATCTCTGGGGGCAGAGCTGGCATGTCCTGGGGCCCTAGGCTGTCCCATCTCCAAGGACCTCTGAGAGGGTTGTGACCCTTGAGCCAACCAGCCATTTTAGTAGGGACACACTGGGCCTGGCCTGGACAGAAACATTCAGCAAATACTCAAGGAACAACAACCATTCATTCACTCATTCATTTCACACCTGTCCCCTAAGCAGTTAGGGGATACCAGGCAGGCCCCGCCCTCATGGCATCCCCAGGCTGACAAGGCAGTCAGCACGAACGTTAAGCAAATGATCCCCTGAATAAGCACGTAATTACATTGTGGGAATTCTGGGGAGGAGCATGCGAGAACCCAGGTGTGAAGGATGAGTGGGCGCTAACGACATAGGGGAGGAAAGGGAAGCCTGGCTGAGGAGCAGTAAGACAGAAGGCCCTCAGGTGGGGGGCAGCCAGGTGTCTTAGGGATGAAGCTCCGGGATGAAGCCCGGCCTCCGGGTGGGAGTGAGGTGAGGTCAGGGCTGCCCTCCCTGGAGGAGCCTCTACTGCTCCCCAAGTCAGGAAGTAGGAGGGACTAAACAGCATTAAACTGAAGGAATTCAACAGCATTAAACTGAAGGAATAAAAGAGGCACATCCGCATCCCAGTTGTCTGGTGTCATTTCCTCTCCACCTGTCCACTCCCTGCTTGGGGGTGAGGCCTCTGAACAGTGCCTGGCTGACCCCAAGGAGCTGCCCCTCAGCTGATGGTGCCAGCTCCTGCAGGGCGGGGGAGGGGGGCAGACAGGAGAGCTGGGTGCCAGGGAGCGTAGAGCGTTTTGGGGCAGGACCCCCAGAGAGGCCAGCCGCGGGTGGGGTGAGCCAGCCAGAAGGGAGTTCTGGGACATGCCAGGCTCCTGAGTTGCCCCTGCCGGGAGACTGGCACTGAGCTCAGTGACTATAAATAAACCACCGGGGGCCGGCCTGGGCCAGCCCGGGCTAGGGCCCAGGGGGGCTGCCATGACAGCTGCAGCCCAAGCCCCTGCAGCCTCGCCCCCTTCCCACAGCCCTAGCACTGGCGGCCCCAGCCCTGGAGAAAGGAAATGCCCACGGAAAGCCTCACAAATGGGGGGGGGGGGCCCAGGAACCCCGGCGCATCTCATCACCTCAAGAGCCGCTGGGGAGTTGAGGGCTCCCTCCTTACCCCCCACCCTTAAGCCCAACGGTACAAGAAGGGCCGCCTTCCCGAGCAGGGTCCCAGAGCCCAGTCACAGGGCACCCCCGGCGCCCCGAGTCCAATTCCCAGCCCCCGGAGGCCACAGCTGCGGCCCCGGCCGGCCCTTCCCCCTCCCCGAGCCCCGAGCCCCGGAGAACTCACACCACCAGGTAGGTCAGGATGGAGACCTGCAGCAGCCGGTAGAGCAGGCCCACCTTCTTATTCTTGGCGATGACGTACTTCTCGGTCTTGTAGTCGAAGAGCGACTGGTAGAGCCCCTTGCAGCCCGCCTGCCCCATGGCGCCGGCTCACCTGGCCCGCGATCGCGTCGCCACACGTGTACCGCATGGAGCCGCCCCCGCCGCCGCCCGGCCTCCAGTGTGGGCACCGCTGCGCCCGGGTGCGCGGCTCACCGGGCGGGGTCCGGCGGTTGGCGAGGCCGCGGCAGCGCCGCCCGAGGCCAGGCGGGGGCCTCAGACTGCGACCTTGCCTCCTCCCCTGCCTGTGACAGTGACACCGCCGGGCCGCCGCCCGGCCACTGACCTGCGAGGGCCCTCCCGGCGATCGCCGCCCGGGAGGGGTGCGGTGAGAAGAGGGTCTCCTTTGGAAGCAACGCCCCTTCTCCGCCCCCAAAGAAATCCAGGGGTTCCTCCTATTGAATGGCCGGGGAAACTGAGGCCAGGGGAGGGGGACCTACAACACAGGAAGTGGAGGCGAAGACGGGATAAAGAGCATTGACATAAAGATACAAAGAGGTTTCTTGATTTTTCTTGCTCCCTGGGGCAACCCTCGGCCTCCCCTCACAGGATGGGGGCTGGGATGAAGTGCGCGTTCCTACTGCAGCAGCTGCGGCCGGCCCGTTTAAACCCCACACTCCGGGGGAGTCAGTTGCCAGGCACGCCCCAGTGGCCAGAGCACGGAGAACTCTGTAGGGCAGGGAGGCTGGGTGGGGTGGGGATGGGGAGACAGGCAGCCGAGGCCTGGGATCTTAAAGATGCCTGGAGAGAGGGCGGGGGCCAGCTGTGGAAATGCTCCCAAAGCAAGAGATGGACCTCACCTAAGCTGCTGAATCTGCAACCCCTCACGGACGGTGGAATTAAATTAGAGGCAGTGGGAACACAGATGAGGACACCTCTGAGAAGATCAGGTTCAGAACGTGGGA